TGTATATAGTATGTTTTAGCTCAAGGAGAATGTGAACTTGGTGGGGGTTAAAGACAGACATGTATAGGATTGTGAATTTTATCCTGAACATCACAATGGGGCCATTGAAGGATTAAAAGCAAGGAGTGGCATTGTCTGTTAGTAAAATCACTTTTTTGCAACAGAGTGGAAAATGAGGAGTGAATTCTAAGAGCCTATTCAACTACTTTAAGTAAATACTGTTACAAGTCTAAATAAAGATCACAGCAAAGGGTACAGAAAGAAAGAAAAGAGTGTAAATATATTTGGAAGTTGTAATCAATAAGAGACAGTTGCTAATTACATAGGAAAAAGGAGAAAAAAGGAGGAATCTTGAGTGACATGGATACTCAGGTCTCTGGTCTGTGAATCTAAATCACAGATGATTACTTCCTGAGACAGGGGAGATGGAAAAGGGGAGAGGTACCCAAAGGACTTCAGTTCAATTCATTGTTCTAATAGGCTTGAACCCAGAAAGCCGGCCTCAGTCAAGATTCAGATTTGGGATCCATCACAAGATAGGCAGTTATTAGTATGTGAGCTTCATGTTAGTCACCCATACAGAAGACAGAGATAAGATGAGTCAAAAGGAAAATAGAACAAGAACAAGAAAGTACAGACCAAGAGAATTCACTGCATTTGAGAGCAGTCAGTTACTAGTGACAAACCCCTGTGACAGTCATCACTTTGGAGGGCTAAAGGCAGAAGCAGGTAGGTGATTAAGACCAGAGGGAATAAGAAAGTCGCAAGGACCTCATGTCTCAGGCCAGGCAGGAGAGGTCTTCTAACCTGAACTTTCGTGGTTCTGCTCCTACACTCCCCAACCACATCCCCATCATGTACAAGAAATCTTGGGACTCAAGGTTAAAGGAACAGTCTCACCTACAATCTGCCACTCCTGCTGGACTGTATTCTGAAGCCCAGGGTCCCTTTCCCAAGCATGGCTTGCTGTGCTCACTCCTAGCCCCCTTTCCTGGACGAGTCACACAGGGGCAGATCCATGCCATTGCAGTGTGTGCATTCTAGCCCTAGGGACCACCAGGGAATAGCCCTTTGCTGAATGGGGAAAGGAAGAGACAGCCTTGGAGGTGTGCGCTGGAACACTCCTGTGTATACACTGAGAGTCGCTCATGATGATGGGTAAAGCAGAGAAGCAAACAATTGGGAAGACAGTCTATCAGCCAGAAGCCCAATTCAACTTTCTGCTGCAAAACCACATTCACCCCTAGAACTCCAAGGACACTATTAGTTTTTAATTGGATCCTGATTCTCACAATGTATTTACACATGGTGCTCAGGCCTCTACTTGTGCTCTTATCCTGGGTCTCACAAATGTTAGGTTAGGCCTGATGGAGGCAGAGATAGTAAACCATACATACAAGAAGAAATGAAGTATTAAGGAAGAAGGGAGTGGTTATTTTGTTTGTTTGTTTTTGCTTAGATCTGCTAAGTTTAGGCATAGTTTACCCACAAGAGAATGTTTTAATAGAGAAAGTGGTTTGAGATTCAGAGGGAGGAGAAATTTACCCATGGAACATCCCTGAGGAGCTCTCTTACCTCCGTGGGTAAATTTCCAGTAGGCAAAACCTGGTGGTCATGTGTGTTAGCTACAGAAAGAAGGGGCACAATTCATCATCCTGAGTCAGAAAGAGCAGTTCTGGGGATTGGGAGGTCTAGGGCAAGGTCAGAGAATGGATGAGTACAATGAACTTGAACCAAACAACTAATAATTCCTTGCATGTACCTTTTTCTTCTCTCTCCAGAGGTTCTGATGAATATTAACTACAATGAGAAGTATAGAATTTAAATGACTGTAAGGAAACAAATTAGTAGAATGGGCTCTGTTAAGCCAGCTTGAAGTGCATTCCATAATTTGGTTTATGAAAAGAAACCTGGATTTTATGTTTTTGCCAGAATGGGTTTAACATTTTTAAAAACAAGATGACTATGTGCCAGAATAATTAATGGAATCTATTTTACTCACAAAGCCAGTACTATAATTCTCAAACTTGGCTGGGCAGTGCCTGGTTACCTCAAGGACATTCACAAAACTGTACCAAAACATTTAACACAGGTTTACTTTGATTGATCCTAAAAACTATAAATGCATATTTGCTCTATGTCAGCACTTTATGAGATAAAGGAACAATTGTGAAATCAAATTAAAAATACTGAGATTTCAAAAGGCCCCAAAGCCTGTAAATTATAATATGAAGGAGCCAGAATCATTCAGAAGTTCCGTAGTAAACTGAATTAAGCCACCGATGTACTAAGACAACTGGAAGAATTAAGATTGATTTGGACAATAAAGTTAAGAGAATGAAACAAATAGTCTAAGTTTAACACCCAATTTACTAGGTTACATATCTCCACACAGACAGAGTCAGGCTAAATAACATGTTCTCCCAAATCTGATGGCAAATGAGAACAAGGCAAAGAAAAGCCACCCCTTGCCCTTAGCAAGCCAGGTCTTCTGAGTTGGGTCCTGTGTGCAATTCCAGCCCACCTACGTAAGACTGCCTCCTCTTTTTATGAAGGTTTTGAGAAGCGACAGAGGGTTCCAGAATTTAACTCCTCTCCCATTGAAAATAAGTTGAGTTATTATTAAATTTCCAAGCTAGATTCCCAAAGTCTTTTCATCCTAGATCATTAGAAGAGTATTTCTCAATTTTCCCTGAGGGTAGATACAATCTGAGTTCCAAACAAGACACTTAGAAAAATAACTTCTGTAATCAATCTATTCTTAAACCAGAAGAGCTCAACAATCTGTCCTTCCTCATCAACTTCCCTAGTTCAGTTTCTCTTTTAATCTAATAAAGTCCAAAATTTTGCCATATGTAGACAGTCATTCTTGAATCGGGCTCACTTTGTAGACTTTTGCATTTACCTGGACTACCCATCTGGTACCCATGGCCCCAGCAGTGATGGAAGCATCCATTATTACCACCCTGGCAACAGCATAAAACACAGGTTAGAGAGGCTGTGCATGTAGGTAGAGAGGTTGTTGGACTATTTCTCTTGGCTTTCAGTTATTTGGATGCACCTTGAATTAAGTTTGACTTTACCTATGGCATTTCATTCAACAAATATTTATTAAGCTCCTCTATCAAAGGGATTCTGACAACTTTCTGTCCTTTCACAGAATATCCAAGCTCTTCTTGCAAGATAACCCTCATGTCTTGCTATATCAGTAACTAAAAGATCCAATTGTCAGCTAAAAGATTTGTGCTGTTTGAATTTATTTTGAAAATGTGTAGTAAGCCAGTACCTTATCCTTCATAAAAATGTTCCCCCCCGCCCCATGATGGTTAATTTCATCTGTCAACTTGGCTGGGCCACAGTACTCAGATGTGTAGCCAAACATTATTCTGAATATTTCTGTGAAGGCATTTCTGTCTGAAGTCAATGTTTAAATCAGACCTTTAGGAAAGTAAGATGGTCTTCTAAAACATGAACAAGCCTCATCCAATCAGTTGAAGACTTGGGAATGAAAGACTGATCTCCCAAACAAGAGGGCATTCTGCAATGAACAGTTTTCAGGATTGAAAGCCTGAGTCCCTTTCCCATGGGCCCACCCTGCAAATTTGGTACTCATCTGCCTCCACACCCATGTGACTCAATTCTTTAGAGTAAATCTTTTTCTATACATATCCATATCCTATTGGTTCTGTTTCTCTGGACAATATTAATATACTCCCCTTCCCCATCCAGGTTTTTAAAGTGGAAAGTGCCAGAAAGGAAGTCTTGGGTAGAGGCGGTAGTTTATTGGAGACCTGATTAAATGCCTCTCTGGGGAAGGGTTAGAGATATGCTTCATGATGGGGTACTGTGAGAGTTAAGGAAGGAAAGTTGACCTCTTGTAATGGTGTCCCAGAAATAGTTTAGAAAATCATTTTGGGCCTCTGAGAAGGTATCAAGTATTGATGCAATTTGATCAATTAAAAATATGTTGAAGTCTTATTTTTGGGTACCATTGTGTTATGGCTTATATCTAGATGCCCCCACAAAGCCTCATGCACCCATAGGTAAGGCTTTTGGGAAATGACTGGATCACGAGTATGACACTGGATTAGTTCACTGATGGGTTTACGGCTGGGTGTAATGTTGGGAAGTGAAGCCAGGTGGGAAGAGATGGGTCACTGTGGGCATGGCCTGGGTGTATTCCTCTACCTCCTTAATCTGTCTCTTGCTTCCTGCCTGCCATGCCATGAACTGTTTTTCCTTCACCATACCTCTCTGCTACACTGCCTTTCCTTAGAGTCAGCTAACTATGAACTGAAATCTCTGCAGATCATGAACTAAAATAAACCTCTCCTCCTTTAACTTGTGGGTGTCATGTATTTTGTTTCAGCAATGAGAAAGTAACTAAGATACATGATAAGTTTTTGGTCCCTTTTCTCTCTGCAGATTTTTTGAGACCAGTGGGGGCTACACAATGGCATGCTCCACATGAAAGCCATGTTGTCATACTGATGATAAGTACAGAGTCTACTTTGCTTATCCACTGTTGGCCTCAGTCCTTAAAGCCCACAGAAGAAAGTAACCCTGCCCTCTCACTTAGTCCAGGCAGGAATGCTCCAGTTTATCCAGTGATGAGCTCCAGTAAAGGTGTGTGATGTATATCTTTGTGAATCACTTTATATTTTTAAAGACATGTTAGAGGATATGGCTATTTCAGGGAAACTTTATAGGTGTCATTTCTTAATGTCACAAAGCATTCTGACTTAAGATCATAACCTCTCTGTAATAAAAAGTCCTTTTCTACCTAAAGATTTAATTAAAATAAGACAAAACTATGTTAATAATATTCAGTTGCCTGAAAGAGTTATAGCAGAAACCCATATGGTATTGTGAGAAAGTAGCTTAATATCCCAAATAAACATCAACTTCCCCAAATCAAACTGATAGCCAAATTGATGAGGGGGAAATGTCACTATTATCCATATTTCCCTGTATTTATTTAAAAGAAAACATTCACACAGTGAAGGGAATCAGAATCTGTTTTTATATCCCTAGAGTTATAAACATTTGTATCAAAATATTTACAATTATAGTATATGAAAATCTATTAATGAAGCCAAATACAGTACTAGAACATCCCACCAATGCAATGCAAATTACATGAGACATAAATGTCACAGAAAGAAAAGCAAAAGACAAAGGAATACATGGTCACTCCAGCCATAATTGAACTTTTTAACAAAATGAAAATATCTCTTTGGATATATCTGATATGTAGGTATGTTTTTGCCCATAATACAGTCTTCCATAATCATGTGATAATCAAATCATAATTTAAAGGTTCATTACTCCCATGATTTCTTTTCTGGTTGATCTTCCTACTCTCAGGTCAGGTAATATAGCCTTTCCCATTCCCTTAACATAATAAGCACAAAGAAATATATTTAGTAAATAGTCCCTTTACATACATATCAGCAATTATGCCACAACAACTCCCCGTGAAAGAAAGGTATATAAGAAATGAATGAGGAGAATGCTAGAGGAGAGAAAGTAGGCAAGATATCTCAGATTCTTTCCAGGGAGATCTTCTGTAAGCAGTAAAAAGAATGCCTTCCACAAAAGACCCCTATTGGCAGAATTTGAGATGGCTTAAAATAGCTGCTCTGGGGTAGAGAGCTGCCTGCAAAACCAGCAATAGTGTATACTTCTAAGGCCTATAAAGAAAGGCTCCAATGGCCACAGACAGCTCAAATACAGTCTGACCAGGTACCCCAACAATTTTTGGTACTTTTTTTTTAAAAAACATCATCTCTCCATCACCTGTATTTTTATTAATTTCATAGGATCCCCCCCAAACAAATACTCCATTTTTCTCACAACTAAAATATGGTATGCTTAATACTTCACAATTATATAGCACCTTTCACCCAAGGATCTGTTGATTGGTTTTGGTGTGTGTGTGTGTGTGTGTGTGTGTGTGTGTGTGTGTGTGAATTAGCTTCCTAAATTATCATGCCCTCACCTGGGAAGGAGGCATGGCCTCTGAGAAGTCACCACTCCAGCCAGTGTCAAAGTGTGAGTGACCACCAAGCCCAGAAGCCCTAATCTCCAAAATGGATTAGATAAAGCTTCCTCAGAAGTTACAATCCAGAGGAAGAGTAACAGAATCATGTCACGAGGAGCCCTATCCATCTCTCTCTTGTTATATATTTACAAGAAATGTTGCCCGCATTGAGGGTAATTCAAAAAAATATAACCTTAATATAGTACTAGATAAGAGTGCCCTTGATCCTACAGTTTGTGTGGTGCTTTCACTACTGAATTGATCATCAGTGGCTCTAGAGAAATTCCAGAAGAGCTGCCTTGGCTTTAAGCTAGAGCCTGACAAGGTCCACAACAAGAGGACCCTGTGAGGAGTGGCTGTGAGGTTTGGCTGGGTTCTGCCCCTCCCCAGTCCTTCTGTGGGGAAAAGTCCTCTTGGATTAGCTAACCCACCGGTGGACTTGGCCTTATAAATTATCTCTCTGCTTCCCCTTTTGTCACAGATGTCGCTGAATTCCATGGAGTTAAATATCTGGTCTACAGAGGCATAGTGGCTCCCTGGCCAAAAGTCTCCTATAGGCACTTTCAGATGGGAATGTGATGTTTCTGCCTTGGGTACAAAGGCAGGGTGGCTTCCAGGCTTAACATAGCCCAGAGACAGGACCTGCTCTTGCCAGAACTTGTACCACTGTTTGCTATTTGTACTTGGTGTAGTAAGTCTTCAAGATTTCAGGGCCTGACTCAGAATTCACCCCAGAAGTCAAGCCAGTGATGTGGCAGCTAATGGGGCCCCAAGTCATACATGTAACTAAGGACAGCTGGAAGCCAAGTCTGACAGCACACGGAGGTTTTCTGGCTGCAACAAGGGATCATCAAACACAAGCTAATGACTTCCTCCCAAGGCAGGGGCTTAACAGTAGAGAATCTTCCCAGGAATGGTTTGGGTTTGGACCTCTCCCACTCTTCCTTCCCCCTCCCTGAACCCCTCCCTTTCCTTGGTTTTTCCCACACAGTGACTTCCACTTCCCTCCCAGATTCGACTGCTTCTTCTTCCCCACCCCCCAGATATCCCAAATGCTGGTTCAGCCTCATTTCTTCCTGAGGACCAGATAGAGAATGCCAATGATGAAGCTGAAGCAGAAGCAGATCCAGGCCAAGATGAAGCAGTAGCCATGGTGGATGGTTGAGCTTGGAAAGGTCGCTTCTGCATTGGTGTAGCGATTAGTGTAGATGGATACTCCAATCAAAATACACAGCCCTGCAGGAGAAAAGGTGTGGCTGTATTATTATCATTGTTTTAACATTAATACCAAAAAAAGATTTTCATGCCTTTTAGAAGGTCCAATGTCACTCACTGGCAATGGAAAAGTGAACTCCCCAGGGCCAAACTCAATGGTTGTGTTGATAAATTTGAGATGTCTGGGCTCTCACATCTGCATAGGGTTTGTGTGGCTGCAAGTGTGGGATAAAACACAGACATTGTGTTTCACCTGCAGCTTTCCTGCCTGGACCCCTGAGTGTCTATACAGGCTAGTTAGAGATTAAAGGAACGTTCCCCACTCTACCCCAACCATGGGTACTGGGAAGAATAAGAGAAGATCAAGCGCTACAATCACTGTGTACACCATGACGGTGCTTAAGTCTTTTTCAGGATCCCCATCTTCCTGTCTTCTTCAAATGTCTAATACAAAAGTATGCCCCAACCCACATAATACATGCCAGGAGCACAGGTTAGTAAACAATGAAGCAGATGGGATTCTTAATCTAAGCAGCAATCTCAGGTTCTTGGCGAGAGTAGAAAAGGGTATAAGGAAGTTCCACAGAGTTAATCTGCTCAAGTAGCCAGGAACAGGGTAGAAAGCACCACTTAAATCCTCTTGCACATAAGCCAGAGTCTTGCCCCCACTCCCAGATACTCACAGCACACCAGCATGGAGGCGCCCGAGAGGAAGAACCGGTTTCCCTTTTCCATGGTAAAGAGTTGGAATATGAAGACCATGAGGGCGACAACAGAGAAGATGATAGACAGGATCATGAAGGCTTGCGAACTCTTCAGGGCACCTGTTAACACAGAGCAGGAGAATGAGGCCATGGGGCTGATGTTTTCCTGACCTCATTACTGTCATTAGGGACTGACATCTCTATACAGACCTTCATGTCCGTATAACAGGTCACCGCAATTACCATCAGAACAGTTTTTCCAAAGACCTGCAGATCCATTGAAAAATATGGAACTATTGAGGCCAACCACCCAAACCTGAAACCAGAAAAAAACAAAAAGTTGATTTAAATTTGATTCTTGAAAAAGAAAAAAGAACAACGTATCAGCTTGTATCAGAGCCCTATATTAATCAAGACACCCTATATAACCACAAGTATGGCTAGCAACCAGTCTATTGTTGGAAGTAAGCTACAATTAAAATCACAAAGGTTCCACAAAACAAAAGAGAGAATGTGTAACCCTGAAAAATGTCACACAACTTCTTTGGACTTCACATTCCTCATGGCTTGAAAAATGTAAAAAAGGAAGTAATTCTATCATAGTAGTTTAAAGTTCTAAAATTCTAAGAAACAAAAGCCCTGAATGAGTATTGGTTGTAAGTATGTACAATTCATACATTCTATCAAGACTTGCTTCTTTTAAAGAAAAAAAAGTTAGGGAACTGTCTAAGTGGTAACAGCAAGTAAACATGAGTCCTACTGGAAAGCTAATATGGAACCTGGTCTTCAGATGGCCGAATTCATCTACACAGAAGGATCAAACTTTGACTGTCATAACAACAAAATAACTTCACAGCAAAATAGAGCAACAAGAGCTGGATTATGTGGGCAGCTGAAAGTAGAAAAATGACTAAAACACATGTCCTCAGGCTCACCATGTTGTCAGTGTCTTTCTCACCCAACCCAAGAAAAATAATTACACTGGAATAGAGAATTTTGCCTATACACACAAAACATGTACATACTAGAAAAGCAGCACTCAGAGTATATAATCAATCATCTGTTCTCCATTTAATAAACAACTAGCCCTGAATCTAATGCTGATAACACACAGATACACAGCACATGGGCATCCATCCTTCAAAACACTCTCAAGTTTGCCAGACTTGCATAGAGAATGGATGAGTCGCCAAATCTGGAGGAGATGGCACGGACTGAGATTTCACAGTTACACTTAGATTAGCCTTGCTGTTCATCATACCCACTAATGTTCACAAAGCTCTTCTTTCCAAACTTCAAAATATGTTTATCATTTATCTGAAGCAGGGCCCCAAACAGATTCTGGAAGCTTCATCATGTGCCCGCCTAATAAGGAGCAGCCTTGGGTTAGTGGTCTGCACTAGTGGTCTTGTTTTGAAGCACAATAAAAGCAAGCAGGGTTCTAAAAGAACCACTAGAGGTCAGAGTAGCCCCAGCTTCAGGGAGAGAAAAGACCACACCTTTACATGATAGTTTGAGGTTGCTTTGTTTATTTCAGTTCTGTGGCACCTGGTTAATCGTGCAATATTCCATTTTCATATGCTATTCTCTCCCAAAAGGCTTTCAACCTTTCACGCCCATCTAACATTCTAATGAAGGTGCCCAGAAGGAAGGGAAGGTCTGTGCCCACCTGCATTGGGGGCTCTTCATTATCCCTAAACAAAGTAAACCTTCCTAAGTGCACACCTTTGCTACACTCCTAGCTGAAAGGCATCCCTAGATTCTTCTACACCCATCTTTCACCTAAACACAGCTTCCCCACTGACCATTCATTGAAGTGCACCTCCATTCTGCCTCTGCTGGGTAAGTTTCCCTTAGATCCTGAGATAACCTCCCTCTATTCTCCTGCCCCAAACTCCAGTATCCCTGGCAGGATCCCTTACATGGACACTTGCTTTTATCCTCTGCTGATCTAACTGCTTAACGTGTGAGTGTATTTCTATTTCTTTTCACAACAAAGCTGGAAGTCTTCAACAGGGCAGGCACTGTAGCTTAAACTACTTTTTGTAGCATTACAGATTAAAGTAATTCCCCAATAAATGAATGAACAAAGAAAAACCGTGACTCACATTGGAAATGGTGGAAACAAAGAGCATAATAACAGTGGCGATGTGGACCACAAAAATGCCAGCCAGTAGCACCAACATCCTGGCTTTTCTAGTGACTCGTTAGTGAAGAGAGTTCTGCAAAGAAAAAGTACAAAAGGGACAAAAGGTTACTGTCAGATTCAGTAAGACAATTCAGCGTTCCCACATGTGCAGGCTGTCTGCTAACATGCAAGCACTACAATAAAAAAGCATCACAATTTCCTTATAAATTCCTGCAAACATCGTGTTAACCTAGTTACCAATATGCCTAATTGCCTATTCATCTTCTGTATATACTTCTAAATGTGAACAGAATTCAAGGCCTTTTGCTCTTTCCAATGTTATAAACTCATTTCTCTAATATTGCCTATTTCCAGAAAAAGAACACTTCATGACAACTGTTACTATCCCATTTTGTTTGTTCTTCAGAGGTCAAGAGTAAAACTATGGTTTTTTAAAGGCCTTTGTAATCTTCAGCTTTCTGTGCAACAACATACAAATTTCCATTTTCCACTGGGAAAATGCCCATGGTTGCACCAAACTGCCCAACCAGCAATCTGAACAGAAGTGATGCTTGTGTAGAAAAGCAGCCACTTCTCAGTGCCCAGATACTGGGTCAGCTACTAATTTGATCCCGGGTGAGAGATAAAATGGGAGAGGCACAACTTTTGTGATTACAGTGCTCTTTGGTATCCAATAATTATAACACCTAATTACAGTTTAATGACCTGGTCACCTCTTGATCGAACATCTCAGGCTAGCATTGCCACACCTGAGCCTTTGGTCCCACAAGCCTCATGTGAGCACACTGCTATCAATCCGGGGCCAAATTCTGTTTCTCATAGCTCGATATGACAGCTCTGGGGCTTTAGAAGTAGGCAGCTTGAGATACCACCAATGCGCTTTCTGCTTGTGTATGACATTTACACAAACTCCAGTCCTTTAGGATTCAGTACAGAAAACAGGAAGATGTGTAAACCTCAGGGCAAGAAGATTGGGAATTAATACATATTAAGTGTATGGTTAAACAAAAGCCTTCAGCCACAATATCATTAGAGGAGAAGAAGGGAGACTATTAGTCATAAAATCATTAATCAAAGGAAGTGTGAAGGATGCACATGGGGGAGGCCATTCTGATTCATGCCAGCTGCAGCAGTGCTTTGTCATACCCACGACAGTTATGTGCAAAGCAGATTCGGAGGGACATGGAAAGGAAAGGGCTGGAGGTCATGCATAGCCTAAGCAGGGACTAGGGAGCAGAGGCCCCCCTCCCAGGGATGAAATAGTAGGGCACATCTGACAACTGCTCCATCTCTCTCTCCCTCCACCTAATGTAATGGTCACTTTGCATGTGCTTGAGTCACTTTCATGCCACACCAGATATTTATTAAAGGGCACTGATGCTAATCATCCAACACTTTAAGTGTCTTTTATCTCCTCTCACTTTCTGCATCAGGCACTCAAAATCCAGCATGATCTGCTGTACACCAGGTGCCTTGCCCTCTGCAAGCAAAGGAGCAGGAGGTAGACACTGGATTCCACCATCCCCTGACCCTCCCCAACAATCCCTTCCCCATCCAGCCCTCTCCTCCAACTCAGGCTATTTTTTTTTTTAAGAATATGTCCAATTTAACTATGCATGGCAAAAAGGATAAAGTTTATTCTGCATCCTCAAGACAGAGCTTGGAGCTTTCATGCCTGCATTAATAATTTCTCCACACATTCAGATTCCTTTGTTGCTTGACTCAGGTTCTAGCACACCTCCACAATTTTCTGCTTGACTTTAATGTGTGGTGAGAAGAGGCTAAGTTAGAATCACATAGCTTTTGGTCTGCCTCAGTTTCTCCATGTTTAATAAATTGGAGGCTGCTATGCAAATGATACTGAGAAGTGTGGACTGAGATGGACTGCATATGTTAAACACTTGGCACAGGATCTGGCACATAATACGTAATAACACCACAGTGGCTTGGGATGTGTTCATTATTATTCATATTATTCATGTATGAAGCCCAGTAGCTGCTGCCAACCCTACCCAGTTTCTTAATCACCAGAGTATCCTAAGTTGGGTGCAAAGAATAAGATATCTGCTATGTAATTCATAAGACAGCATATATAAAATCGCTTTGGTCCTCCCAGGAGCTGCCATTTTGTCTAATCTTACCCCATCAGTGGGGAGATCCTTAAGAACATTCCCTCAGGAGTGGCCAGGACAAAGTTAGAGAAACTCTCCTCATCTCATTCTCTTGATGCCCCAAAACTCATCTCATCCCCCCTGATCTCGCTGTCCTGGGCAAAGGAACAGACTGATTGCTGGAAAACACAGTTTACATAATCCCCTGTTTAATCACCTTGGGATCTTCAAATGATCCTCATATTCCTTTGCTGCTAATTTACAAATATCCTTCTCATAATGGTGAGCAGTGGCCAAGAGAGGTGAACAGAATGTAATCCACCAAGTGAGGCCACTTAAATGAGCTAAAGAAAATATGGTGAGTTCTCTCCTGGACAGGCGGTTGGCATTCAGCAGCACTTTCTCCTTGGTCTGCTCTGTGACCCTCTCTAGTCCAGTCTGACTTCCTTTTACCTGCACTCAAAGTCTCTATGAGAAAGACCCCACCCACAACACCTCCACCTTGGCAAATCCATTACATCCCAGGAGCTGCAAGATTCCAGGCACTGCTTATCTCAACACAGCCCCACAGGGGCTTTATTCTCCTTGCAGCTGGAGGAGTGGGTGGAAGAATCAAGCCATGAGGTAACTCCCTCATCTTAGGCTTTTGATTTTTTTTTAATGGTTGTGCTGTGCCTTTCCACTGTACAAAAGAGCACAGTGTCTTAGATTAGCAAAGTGCACAATTCTCCCCACTTCTGGCTGCTATGTTAAGCCAAAAATTAGAGGCTGTTTAGCTGGAGCTATTGTATAATACATATAACTTCATCTTTTTAATGCCCCAGATTTGTCAGGTTTTATCAGTATCATCCATTGTCAGCTTAGAGGGGTTTTCATTATTTTTTAATGGCCCTGTCTCAACACATTTGGAAACAGAGTAAGAAAGCTCCTTAAATTTTTGTGCTAGATCAGCCCACCTGCTATGGTAGAGATCTTGCTCCTCACCCTCAGCACTGAAACCCTCAGTTTAGGGAAAGGCAACCCTTGAAGTCTTTAGAGAAAACTGTTGGTGGTAATTATGGGGTGAACATTTGGGAATCTATCAAATAACAGAGTAGAATGGCTGTACATAGCTGATGATCTATGACCTAAAATTTCTACCTATCCATTACTTGCAGCATAGTTTGTAGGAGGACTCATTCCCAAGCCCATTGAATATCTTGCTTTATACAAGTACTAACCACATTTCTGGGCATTTAGATCATTAGAAATATTGGCTGCCACTACTTTCTTTCTTAGCAGCATATTTTACTAAAACAATACTAGACTCCTCCCTCATACCACTCTAAAATGCTACAAGTGGCACACCCCATGTCACAGCTGAGCAACTAAACCAGGAAGCAAAGAATGCAGCAGTGTATCACCTGCTTCCTGCAAAATATTTGGGCACCAACTGTCCCACGTGCACCATTGATTACTGGGGGCCCCTTTAACAGCAACATTCTCTGTTTTGCCTTTACTCTCCAGCTTGGGTCCCCAGAGCTAGTTAATCCACAGTGCTCTGAAAGGGGAGAACACCCACTGGCCTTTCTGTGTGGGGTACCTTTCTGCACTTACCACTGTAAGGGAAACGGAAGTCTCACCCACCCAGTGTGCTTGGCACAAGGCAGTCAGGGAAACATGAACGTTGACTCTAGAAAGAAATGACTGTCTGGAAGAAGGCACACACAGGTCTCTGCCACCCCTTTTTTCTCTTCTTTTACCCCAAAGAACAGGCCTGCTCCTCCTCTTTTCATACTGCTCTTTCATTTCTGACCACTGTTTTTCCTTTTCTTCTCCCATGGCCAAGCCCACATGACAGCAGCAATCTATTTAAGCTCCTATCTCTAATGCAAGCCTCACTACTATTGGCCATTCTGTATTTGGATTAAGATCTCTGATGACAGAAAGTATATTACAGTTAGTGAACATGACCATGAGGATTTACAAGTCTGGCGATGGGAGCTATAAATAACTAATAGCCAGGAAAAGGAGAGCAGAAAAGGGTTTGCTAGTCTTCATCTACTGGGTTCTTTTTTTTCTCTTTTATTTTATTTTTTATCAGTACTGGGGATCGAACTCACAACTGCCTGCTTGCAAGGTAGGTGCTTATGCCACTGAGCTAAATCCCCAGCCCCTATCTAGTGGGTTCTTGCCTCACTCTTAACTTTCTCCTCATCAAAAACTGAGTAAAAAGAAACATAACCCTAAACTGTCTTGTACTGTGTATTTCCTTTTTTCTCTCTCTCTTTTCTTCAGGTAACCTAACATAGTAGAGTGCTGAGATCAATTGATCAGGGCCACATGTGCCACTTTCTTTTTCTGATGGGCAAATCATTCTGCAGAAACTTTGAGAAACAAGGAACAATAGGGAAGTAAAAACTGCATAGCTTGGCTGCGCACTTGCTAAGCAAGCAACCAAATAATTCCTTCTTGTTGTGTGCTACAGAGACTCAGGGGAAGAAATTTCTCTAAGGATGATCAAAGCCACTGTAACTGGGAGCAATCACAAAGAAGAGAGAAAACCAAACCTCACTTCTCCAGCACAGGAAGTGGTGGAGATTCTGAGACCTGAGTCACTGGAGAACTAGCCTGAGGCTGAGGGTGCAGAGCTCAAGGCTGGGAACTTTGTGAACAGTGGGGGAATCCCACAGCACTCAGATTTCCATGATTCACTTGAGAGTGGGTGAGAGTCTTCCAGATGAAAGACAAAGTGGAGGTCTTCTCTAAAGGACAACAAGATGGTGCAAGAGGATTCCTGAGGAGCAAGGAGTGACTGGTCAGCTGAAGCCAGTTTAGGCATTGCTCTGGGTTTTACTGGGGAGAAGAAAGCAATCATGGTAGATGTCAAATTCCCTCTCTCCTCCCTTTATTACAGGTTTACTGCCCAGAGCATCTCAGTTGCATGGTGAGTCTCTACCTCCATTACTTGCCTGGCCTTGTG